ACTGTACAATATCAATAAAGAATAGTTGGTCATATTAGCTTTACTGAATATTGTGAAACATATGTAAGAATAATAATAACACTTTGAGTAGATATATATAGTCAAATGCGTTATATTACGGAGGACTGAATTATTCAACTTGTTATTTGCAGAAAGTATCATCGATAATAGTACACAGGACACGATGAATGCATCAGATTCATCTGACACATGGTACCAGCATGCTGATATTCATAATGGATCTAACTGGACGAATGAAGAAATTGATAACTACAAATCCTCAGACTGTGGTGGTTTGTTTGTGTTCCACGCGGAACTTAGCGTGTTGGCATTTATAAGTGTCCCTGTCGTGTTTGGAAATATGTTGGTTATACTTGCAGTTTACCAGAATCACAGTTTACGAACAATTCCAAACTATTTTCTTGTCAGTTTAGCGTTTGCTGATTTGATGATTGGATGTACATCAACTCCATTGTGTGCGTTGATATATGGAATTGGCTTAGTGACTAACAAGTGGGCATGTATTGTCGTATGCATATTAGCAAGCAATCCGTTAGGCGTATCACTGATGCATCTACTTGTAATCGGAATTGACAGATACATCGCCATTCTGCACCCACTTCACTACCATCAATGGGTCACTGTGCCCAGAGTCAAGATTGCCATTGCAATATTATGGACCTATTCTGTGTTAACCCTAGTTCCATTCTTTCTTTTGAATGACAATCCTGCTAAAAGTTGCCATGAACGAATTATACCACTTATACGTGGATCTGGAATGTATATATCTTTAATATCTTTCGCTGTTCAGTTCATAATAATGGTTACTATGTATGTGAGAATATTTTCAACTGCAAGGCACCATTTGAGAAGAATATATCCAAATTCAGAAGAAACACAGCAACAACTTTCTATTAAAAAAGAGATAAAAGCAGCTATAATGCCATGCATCGTGCTTGGTGTTTTATTTATCTGTTGGGTTCCACACATTGTTGCCTCATGCTTAACTAAATATGAGTTGTGTTTGACCCCTTCACGTTTTGTTGCATATGTTTTCATTCTAATTAATTCCGGATCTAATCCGTTCATTTATGCGCGACACAATACGGAGTTTCGTCAAGCTTACAGAAAAATCTTTCTTAAAATGAAAGCAAAATTATGTAAATAAATGTATCAATTAAATATATTTTAAAGAATTGGCGAATCATAAATGTGTGAATGCTTATTAGTTAATCACAATTCATGATATCTTAAAAATTATGTACTAAGTATATTGCTATATGTGTCTCCACTTATGTTTGTTATTTGACGTTGTTTGTATTTTAGTAAAAAAATATTTTCAAACGTTTTGTCACCATATTACATTAATATGTAGCTTGCAAACAATTGATCCACCAAACAAAGCCACTTGGAGTCGATATCCATTATTGTGTTGCAATTACAGTGGCATTTACCGGAATAAATACTAATCGACCTAGTCGCATTGACATTGATTATCAATGTCAAATGTATTACCGAGCATAATGTATTGGTGTCTATCAACAGAACAGCGTGTTGACAAGAACTGGCAACCACTGAAGGTTTGACATTGAATAGCTGCATTAGGACATTTTTATCTCAAGCCTTACATTAAATAGATATTTGCTCGTTATAATTGTGTATTCATTCTATTCTTTTCTTCTTCACAAGCAATTGTTTATGTAGTATTCATTTCTAATACTCATTTTCTGTATTGTAATCTAGTTTTAGTAGTCTGAATATTAAATTTATTCTAACCTAATTCTGGTTTGGTGTAGTACGTATATACAATAATTAAAGCAAGATTGTTTTGTCGTTTAATCATATTAATTTGAATCGTAATCTAAATGTTGCCAAATAAGCAGTACACTAATCTAGATTGCGTGGAAAGAGCTCTAGCTTACTACTGCCTACGTGATCTATATCGTTATCTTATCAGTATTATGCTATACGAATTTGTTTACTACTAATGCATGTACAAGCAAGCAGGCCACAAGCATGTTGTCAATGGCAAATTGTACGACTATAAGGCACTTCAAGAGCGCAAATTATTCCACTGCAATTGAAGCCGTTACTCTCCCGAAATTTAATTGATAACTTCCTTTCTCAATTTCATTACATTGTGTCTCTAACGTTCTGTGTTATCTGGTAAACGAAGATACATGATAACGGAGTACAAAGCAGAATGACACTCTTGAATTTGTTGACATGTGTGCATATTTCACACCATGTAGTATTGAAAAGCATCTGAATCAACATATGTGGGTAATCGTTTCTTAAGCCCATGTGAGCGTGTTTTGGTACCTGTGAGTCAAATGCTCGAAACTATATTTTAACCGAGTTTTCCATAGACAACAATGAATACACAATCGGTCAATAACACACTTTATTTAGCCATCCTTTATTGAAAAGGTGATTTTTCTTTCAACTGCGAGATCTCGCGCACCGACCGTCTTCCGCAAAAATCGACCGATTTGATTTTGAACTCGAATTTCTTTATTTCGTAGCTCACATCGATATGCATATCTTTGACAGGGAAATATTGCGTTTGAATAGCCTTACTTCATCGAAATTGACCATTATCAAATGCGTGCAGCACAATATGGAAACCATGGAAATATCCCCCAAAATACTTTCGCGTTTGTTGAATTCCACGCGATGTTTGACGCCACTACGACGCAATGACCCTTGTCTGTCTTGTTTTTACGTTCGATTTCACGCATAACCTCGCAGCGGAATCTCGCAGTGTACGGAAAATGGTACAAACGTTTTGTCACCATATTACATTAATATGTAGCTTACAAACAATTGATCCACCAAACAAAACCACTTGGAGTCGATATCCATTATTGTATGTGTTGCAATTACAGTGGCATTTACCGGAATAAAGCATATGTGAAGCATATGTTCCCTTCGATATAATCAATCCCATTCAACCATGGCCCGAATTACAGCCTCGAATTAAAATTCTGAATACCAAGGACACACCCAACTTTTTCAATCGCAATGCTTTTACTTACCATTAACCAATCTGCCACAAAATGTCGGATGTTTAGAACAGAAGACTAGTAATCAATCAGTGCACAACTTGCGTTCAAATTATTACAAAATACTTACACGTCCATTGGGTGACACAATTAAACGCCTTAGACTTCAAGAAGTCAGCAAATAACGGCTCTATTATGAGAACTGTAAATCAATGTTTTTCTTCGACGAGAAAATGCACATGGCAGTTTAATTTTTCTTTTTAAAGCCGAATTTGGGATTCGCTGTTTCAAAAACGCAGTAGATTTATTCATTCATGCGCAAATGTTTACTCTTGATACAATATCCGACAGTTGATTTGCCTGTCACCATTACACTAATAATTGCATTAACAACGTTTAGACTTATCTTTAATGCCTCAATATTATTAAGCATTATTGTTAATTTCACATCGTAGCTCTTCATAAATTCTATCCATGTGATGAAATAGAATACACTTCATTTTTTTAAATGTCTCGTCTCTGGGTTTGTATCTGCCAGATCATGGTTAGTTATATCAATCGAAATAGTCCATCCAAATCTTCTTGAAAAACATACTGTAAAACATGTTGAAAAAAGCGACATGCTATTTTAGCGAATTGTGGTAAAATGATAATAGCGAAATGTTGATTTAGCGAGTCTCTCTTGTCATTGTTGATTTCCTGTTTTCACAATACTTGTCTGTCGCGTGCCAAAACAAATGCACAGTTATCACCTCCATAAAAACAAAGAAAAAATGTCAAGTGTAATTTGATTCTGTTCGCAATTATAACAAACTGATTCAACAGGAATTTGAAAAAGCGGGTATCGTTGCTGCGCTACATCCAGAATATTGACCTTTTATATTGGACTCAAAAATTACTAAGTAATACTAATTTCCGTAATAATATATCAGTATCACTTCATTTATTTATTTTCATTGAAATAATGACCACAATGAATACGTTTTTTTTTGTGGTAATTTACTTTTCAATAAAGTGTATCTATCATTTCAGTACGTTTTTTTGTGTGTGTTGTTTACAAAGTGTGTGTGTATGTTTTTTGGCCATTTTGAATTTATAATAAAGTCATTAGCGACATCTTGAATTAGCGAATCAGTTCTCTCGCTAAATTCGCTAAAAAGACATGTTTTACAGTAGTATATTCTCGTCATCTATCTGGTAAACAGAAAGAATTATATCTTGAATGTTTTTTCTCTCGAGTTGAACCAATATAATCAGTGCATAAATCAATTATCAATTCCTTTAACAATTCTGTTCATCATCGTCTAAATTATTTATACACACGCTTCGCCGACATTTGTCGCTATATTCTTATCCTTTTCTTTGACTGCCGCTAAAGAATCCCATCCACTCACTTAGATAATCTCTTGATTACAAGGGAGGTGAAGTGTTCTCCGTAACACAACGACCCAATGTGTGTAGCCACACAAGAACTGTTCAAACTGCAATCACCAAACACGTTAAATATACTTGGTATAACCATATCTTATTGACATGGATCAAATTACATTAACATATTGCCCATGAAAAGTACGACCCAGTTTGTGCATGTGCAGCATGAAAAATATACAGTTAGTGCTGGTAGATTGGCTTTGGGGCACATCGTGAAAGACCTAATTTCACCAAATTATTTCCTTCAACTACATGTGAATGAACATTCGATACATTTGTTATAAACTACCTATAAAAAATGATAACAGTTTTTCTGAAAGCAGCTATATTTGTATTCAAAATTAATGCCCAAACTTACGAAAAAGA